TGCCTTTCTCATTTTGGTTGCATGCTACCGGCATTCCACTACCGCCACCTCGTCGCCTCGCTTTTCCGACGACCAAACACCTCGCCGGAGCATCCCGACGATGCTGGACAGCGAACCTCATCTCCGTTCGAAGGGGTGCAAAAAGTCTTGGACCGCATGCAGAAGAGTTCCCGGGGCTTCATTGGGATTCGTGTAAATCGCGCGACGGTATAACTCCTCTTCTTCGTTGTACTTTTACTTCCTAGCTATTCTTAGGTTGTAGTGGCATTAGGTGTGTGGGTTCGATCACCCGCACGGGGTGTGCGCGTCGGCAAGTGTTGGCACGACGACGCATCTGTGTGATGGATTGCTTGTTTTCTTAGAGGTGGCCTTTAGGATATAATTCTCCTTACGCAACCAAGTCCCCTACGATAGCCAAGTGAATCCTATATGACTACCAGCCTTAGCACAAAAAAATCCTAAGGGTTGGAACCCCTTTCTCTCCCCTTTTCTTTGTTTGCTCCGGTCTTTTTAGAAAGATTGCATAATAAGCCTTTGCGAAATGAGAAAATGTGAGTCATTAGCTCATTTCGTAAAGCTCAGAGGTGTCATGAAATCTGGAAAAGCGTCGTCACTAGTCTATTTTACGACAAGGCGGAGAACTTCCCCTTTGGAGATCCGGGGAGAAGTTCTAATGAAAAATGGTGATCCCAAAGCAAATGCGTCAATCGCCATTTTTCTATATGTTGACCCTAGCTTTCCCGGTGAGGTCATTAGCACAGGGATGACTGTTGGCATGGGGATGACTCCTTATTACATGTGGATGTTTGCATGTTGCATTTTGCATTGCACGTAGTATTTCACTTCGCTCCAATCGGCCACCCCATCCCGACAAGCATTTCAGTTCGCTTTGACCTACCGCCCAGACCCAACGAGCGTTTCACTTCGCTTCGTCCGGCCGCCCAGGACCCGGCGAGCTTCTCACTTCGCTCCATCCGGTCGCCCCGACCCGGCGAGCATTTCACTCCATCTGGCTGCCTCGGCCCGACGAGCATTTCAGTTCGCTTTGTCTGGCCGCTCCAGCCCAGCGAGCTTCTCACTTAGCTCTGTCCGGCCACTACGACCTGGTGAGCATTTCACTTCGCACCGTTTTGCCGCCCCAGCCTGACAAACGCTTTACTTCGCTCCGACTAGCCGCACCGACCCAGTGAGCATTTCACTTCACTTCACTCGACTCTTTTGAGTCCATTGTCATGACACTTTAGCTCGACCGGATGCCTTGATCAGGTTGACCAACTACTTGCACCACCATACTATCTTGAATATGTGTTGCATTTTTGCATATTGTAGTGCATAAATGTGATTGCATTATTGCATCTAGTCTCGCATTTGTACGTTTGCACGATTATGGTCATATGTTTGAATTGCACATTCTCTTCAGGCCCCTGCCGCCACGGCACGCCTACCTTTTATAGGTCACTACCCTATCGACACACCTCTTCGGGCCGCTGCCACCATGGCATGCCCATCTTGTTGAGTCACTGCTGCTTCGGCATACCCCCTGGGGCCGCTGCCATTACGGTACACCAACCTCTGTTCGAGTCCCTACCCATGGTACACTCATCCCTTATATATTTTGATTATTCATTTGTATTTGCATGTCCATATGGATAGTGAGCCAGACCCGTTAGGAGAGTGACTCCCGTGTTGGTCGCGATGCCTTAACGGGCATTGCTCGCCGGGTTGATCCCGATGAGCAATGTGAGTTAAGTCATCGGGATTGACATGAGTATGACTGTGTTAAGAATCTAACAGATCTAACTTGGGTCACCTTCCTTCGTAACAACTTTTTAGATCCATTGTATCCTTATGATGGGGTCGGTAAGGTGACCCCATCAAAGTCATACTACACCCATACTCACCCCACACTTAGATATTAGGTTGACGCATTTTTCGTTAGACGGTGTGCTTCGCTAGGATTTAGGGTGCTAGGTAGTATTTTTTGACACTTCTGGCTATTATTGTGTGATGTATTATTTTGTGCTAGCCATGTGTCACCTTCTTGCTTTTTCGGTGTGTTTGCATGCACTCTTGTGTGTGATAGTATGTTAGGACGATCTTCTGCAGGTGTAGTGCCTACTTATACACACTCACACAGGGCTATTATGGGGGAGCATGTAATGATTTTTAATCATTTGCTTGCAGGTGCTTCTTTGCTCCCCTAATTTTAAGGCACGGCTTGTTATTTTGTGATGCATGTGTGCCCGCTAACATTTGTTTTCTGTAGGTCGAGTCTTTATTTTTTTTTTTTCAAGTGTATTTGATAGAGTCCTAGGAGAGTCTGTATTGGAAGTAAGGTACGGGCACGGGTTTCGAGACGAATGATGCATCAAACCGTGTGAAGAGGACCAGGAGCAGCAACTCGTGTCCCGTACCTTAAGTCTGAATTTTACATTATTGTATAGACTTAGGACCGGGCATGTATATGCGGAGTCAGTCCGCTTTTACTACTTTTACTTGATTATGTTGCCGGTCCAACGACATTTCGCCTATTTATATATTCTTTTGAGATGTTTTCTTTCTCTCTCTTCTCAAGTGCTTTTGCGTGTTGGACCATTTTATATTATTTCTTTCCGTATATCTGGGATTTCACGATGCAATATAGGCTCATTATGACTTAAATTCCTAATTTTTCTATTTAAAAATCCTAAATAAAATAATCAAGATAATTAAAATTTAGGATTAAAATATTCAGGATTTAAAAAATTGCAACTTTTACTTTCTTGCATATATTAATAGGGCCTCCACAATACTTAAGGATCGCTCTAGATAACTGCATATATTCGCATGTCCCGAGGAGGAGCCCCCGTGCTTCTTGAACTCGACTGACCCAACATATCTTTATATATAGGTGGTTTTCTAGTGCGCATAGGGTGTTAGAAGACTCCCAGACCCATACGGGGTGTAAGTCCTTTTGTTTAGAGCGTTTTCAGCTTTGTAGCTGAACCGTCATTTTCTTTTTTCCTTCCTGAGGCGTCCTTGCTACATTGGCAGGTATAAGTCTCACCTCTTAAAGCTCCAATTTATAGTCATATAATAGAGTTTCCTTCCTTTGACCTTAGGGTTACCGAGGTTCCTGTGGATGAGGCAATTCACGGATTGCTGGCTGAGAACCTCAGGACATGTTGGGTCGACTACCTTCAAAACCAGCTAGACTTAGGGTCCTAGTAGATAGTTGTGTATGACAGGTCCGTGGTACCCCGACCCAGTTATCTTTGCCTTTTAGGACTACTCTTCCCTGCCTTTTGACTACCCCTGTTCATCATTGTCTCTCTTTTTGCCTTCGTTGGCCTCACCCCGACGGCCTGATGACCGATGAGCTGCCGCCCATTTGAGATACTACGATTTGTTCTCTGCCCTTACGGTTCGGATGTGCTTTGACGTCTCGGGACTTCCCGTTTGGATGATACGGTTATTTCGTAGGTTGTGTATGTTGATGAGTCCGCTATCTATATGAGGACCATGAGAGACTCACTCCTCGTCTAATGGTTTAGCGAGAGCTTTGAATTATCGGGACATTCCCCTTGCGAGATAACCTCCCATGATGACCCTGTGCTAGTTGTCATTTTTCAGGTAAGCAAAACTCACTTTGGATCAAGAGTTTTCTTGGGCAACCCCCAAGATTTAATTAACTAAGTGGGATGCATCCCCTTAGACTCATGGCCCTAGAACAGACACCTACACCTGAATCTCTGGTTATGGGTAGTCTACGTAGATAGTCTCTGGTTTGTCGCTTTGTCGTATGTCACTTCTTATTCGGTCCCTTCCCTCTTCCAATCACTTATCTTATTCGGGAGGGAGATTTATTCGAATTTGGGAAGTATGTGACGATCAATAAGCTGACGACTCCTTTTAAAATAAAAGAGAAAAAAAACGAACGAAAACATACTCATTTAAATTTAAATTTTTTGATCAACTCTATTATACATTAACACCATTTTTCTACTAGAGCAAGATTGTAAACTCAACTCCTTATTCAGCTCCATTCTTTGTTATTAGATAAGCCTTGATGGCATGATTTGATAAAATTAATAAGTCTCGTGTCCAAATTATATAAAAAAGTGATCAATAGAATAATATGTATAATAATAAATAATATAACGCTTCACGTATTAGAATTAAAGAACAAAGAAAGAATACCTCAAATTAAATCTAGTGGGTGATAGGAACCCCTGGCCATATTATATAATCCCATGTCTGCTACATTATGGATCACCAAAAGCACCAATTTACTCCAAAAATTAATAGCATCCATTTTTTACATTTATCTTCTCTTAAAAACGGCGTATAATAAGCAAACCTCCATTGATTTACCTCAAAGAACTACATACATTTGATCAAATTATATTATCTCTGCTTTGAAGTAAATACTTTTATGATTAATAGCATGGTAGGCTTTGCTGCACAATAACATTAATATGTTAATACACTAAATTGACAAGAATACATAATCATATAAAATTATTAACCTCCCTCGACTTGAGCTTGATCAAGTTAATCGAGTTCGAGCTCGAGTTCATTAACTTAATCAAATCTGAGCTTAAACTCAAACTTAATTCTACAAGTTTAAGCATACTCACAAGCCAGTTTGATTATTATGAAAAAAATATTGATTCAAATTAATTTTATATTAAGATGACAAATAGAATGAAAATTAAATTATAAATAATAAGAAATTCCTTATTGCAAAATATAATATATCATTTCTTACACCTTTTGAGTAATTTAAAGATAAAAATTTGAATTTCAATGAGTGTATTTTATATCAATTATTTTTTAAACAAATCGGCTCATGAAGCAATGAGTTGAGTCAGAACTAGCTTGGCTTTTCAGCTCATCGTACTCGGTTCACGAGCCACTTATCCAGCCATCCCAACCGGCTCATGAGCTGCCTTGACTTACACCCCTTAGTTGGAGTGTGGGACAATATATTATTTTCAAAAGTAACAATAATAATAATAATATCTATATCAACATTGCCACTGACTTCATCAACACAATATAAACAGACAAACAGACATAATCAGTCATTTCATTCCTCAGAAAACACAGCTTAAATGCAGCAGGCATTAGATGGTAGCCAGACTGAAAAAAACAATGACATAAATTGAAAATTACAAATGAAAGTTTAATAAGATTATCACTTGAATGTTGAAAAGCGAGGCAGCTTGTCCCTCAAGTAATAGAGCCTCGCTCTTCTGACCTTCCTGTGCTTAACAACTTTGATCTCCTTAATGTTAGGCGAATAGCTGGGACAGATTTCATCCAGAAAATATAGTTAATATCAATGAATGAGCATCCAGATACGATCTCTAAAATTTGAAATTTATTAAAGAAAATCATACATACATAACTCTCATTTCCTATGTATTTAAATATATGACACCTAAACTTCAATTTTTATAAAGAAGTAATCTTGCTCGTGCATGAAAACGTGCATTTCATTTTTTTAAAGTTAGAACCGCGGTGTTTCTAATGTGACATGAAAGATTTAGAAGGTATAAATGTAAAAACATAATGTTTAGGTGTCACATATGTAAATGTATATGAATTGAGTGGCATGCATGTAAACGCCCCTCACTAAAATAAGGGGCAGTAAAGGTAGTTCTGAATCCTAACAAGCATATTAAATTGTAACTATGATTCATATATATAAAAAAAAAAAAAAATCATCAATTGAAATTTTTCACCTGTTCCAAGTTGTTTAGTAGAAAGTTAAATGAAACTACTGATATTGGTTCGAATAAAAGAACAAATAGGACGCTTTAAGGTTTCATAAGCTAAAGCATGAATACTTGGCTACAGTGAGGTACTTACAGGCAGAATATTGATGATTGAATTTATCACAAGTGATGGTAGATTAACATGACAAGTTAGGACTACAATAGCAGTTACGTGAATATATATATTTGAAAAAAAAAGAAGATTATTATGGTATATTTTATGATGCCTGGCTCATTATGCCTAAAGCAGGGCTTGAAGAGGATTTTTTCCCGGACAAGCCAGCATCTCTTTAAAATGACTACTACAAGAATTAAGCAAAGAAAAAAGGTCTAAACTATAGAAAAGATACATATAGTAGTCCCCTTATTCTTTAAAGGGTGGTCATTTTAGTCTACAAGTTAATGAAGTGTCAATTTAGTTCGTAGACTCTTTTAATGAAGGCTAAAATATTTGACGTGGGATGGGGAAGGGACCACTGAGCAGTTCAGTAAAAGTGAGGGAGGGCCGATATGCCCTCTCTCTAGGTCCAGGATTTACCGCTCATTCCTAATAGCAAGAAGGGTATTTTCTACTGTTTGTTTTTATTAGGTTTAGGTCATTTGCTGATTACAAATATGTACTAATTTATCGTATTATAGTTCTTATTTTCATTTGAGTTTTGTGAGGGTCTGTGCTCCTTTTATAGTTTCCGGATGGGGATGAGTCTGCATTGAGTGGTTGGCAACTGTATCCCTCCAATGTTGGTGGTGACATCCCGGGTCTCCTTCCTTCATCAATCATTTGAGTACTGATTTATGTATTTTGATAGGTTGCGAGAGTAGGAAACTCTTGTATCTTGTATCTTTTATTTGATCAATACATCTCGTCTTTGTTCTGGTTGATTTTTTTCCTGTCTCAGATTGCTTTATTGGTTGCTCTCGCTGAATCTTCTCAAACCCCCTCTTCTTCGGTATAATTTGGCATCAGAGTTAGCCTAACGTCAGTTCCATTCTGAGGTTACAAAACACTTCCAAAAACTTGCTAATCAAACCATGGCTAGATTTTGACCTAATTATAACAAATAATTTTTCTACACCCTAAATCAGCCTCATACACCCTCTTTCCACTCTCAAAATTAAACCCACCAAACCTGACCTAACCCTAATTTCCCCTTATTGATTTTCAAAACCAACAACCCTAAATAATTTTTTTGCACCTTAAATCAGTCTCATATGCCCTCTTTCACCTCCATAATCTAAACTCTAGCCATGCCACTGAGGAGACAAGTGTCGGAAGTCAAATGCACTCCAATCCCGAGAGGTTAAAACAACTCTATCACCTTCAACGTGGTCGACCTGATACCATATCATAAAAAATCATAAGTTCCAATAGATGAGGTCGAAGCTCCACCACTCCCAGTAGACTGACACGGGGTGGAGAGGGGATCCCGAACCGGTTTGGTCCTAGTAGGGGAGGGTCGGTCAGCCCTCTCTCTAGGGCTAGAGTTGCCTCACTCCTAATAGTAGCAAGGGTATTTTCATATGTTTGTTTTTATTAGGTTAAGTCATGTGTTGATATAAATATGTTGTTTATTGTATTAGGAGACTTTTTTCATTTGAGTTTTGTGAGAGCTTGTGCTCTTTTTGTAGTTCCCGGATGGGAAAGAGGCTCTATCCACATCCCTCCCTTGTAGGCGGTGATATCCTGGGTCTCATTCCTTCGTTAACTTTTCAGGTGGTGATTTTTGTATCCCGATCGGTTGCGGGAGTAGAAAACTCTTATATTTTGTATCTTTTATTTGATTAATTCGTCTCATCTTTGCTCTGGCTATTCTTTTACAAATCTCAGATTGCTTTCGTGATTGTTCTTGTTAAATCATCTCCAACGCCCTTCTCGATATCAATAATCCTTTATAGAGATATTTTAGCCCATGATAAAAGAGTGAGGGGACTAATTTGACACTCTTATAGACTCTGAGGACTAAAATAGCTGAAACGGAATAACCATAAAATTTTCATTTGGATAACTTGATAGCATCATCATGATTCACAAGAGATGCACCAAGGTAAATAATTTTGTTCAAAAAGAAAACAAAAAGTCCTTAATCAAAAGGGATAAAAGAGAATTACGTATCATGCACAAAAAATGAAGAGGTCATGATATCGTGTAAAATAGAGATGGAGAAAAAGAGAAGATTTTATACATTGACTTTAGGTCATTGAGAAAGAGAGAAACTATCACAGAAGTATTAATGAGAATGAAGGAAATACAAAGAGGGGCAATAGGAGGGCCACAACAGCAAGTAGTGAGGGAAACAAACGCGAAGACAAAGCACTAAAGAGAAACTAAAACATGAAGTACTGAAAGGAAGCCAAAATATGTAGAACTACTCATGGAAGGGGAACTAAAAGAAGGGCAAAACCATAGCAATAGGACCAATAGGACAATAAGTAGGGCTTAAAATGCGACTGTTGTTTCGCAACTTTTCCAACACCTGAGCTCTACTACAACAAATAAGCTGCCATCAATTGCTTCAGATCATAGCCTAAGAATAAGTAGAGGACCCCTCAGCACATGAAACATGTTGTCACCTCCTTTGAGCTTGTGAGAATTGTTCTTACCATAATTTTCTCACTCTATCCCACTTCCGTTTATATCCTCCTTGATCAAACCAACTAGAAGTATCACCTAAACCAAAGAGCTGTTTAGCTCATAACTGTTAAAGCCTCTAACATCAATAGGGTGGTGAAAGTACCAAGAATTCAACAAGACAAAAATATAGGCATAAAAAAAAAATTAAAGGATATATCCTCATCCTTATATTAAGTTTAGAGAACTTCAACCATTGTAATAGCCCATTGCCATTTTACATACTTATGATCTGCCAAATCTCTCGCAAACCCAATTAAAGTAATACCGGATATATATTCCTCAATGCGTCCATTATTGGCTTTAATAAAGGCATTCATGGTTTTCATCAGCCACCAGCAATCATAAACAGTTTGGGCTGCTTTTCTAGCAAAATAATCATTCATTAAAGTCATACAGATTAAATTTCAATTTTATAAATAGAATCCTCTTAAAAACTTCCATGCCTGAATGGAGACAAGACTTTATCATTGCTACACGTGATTTTTTTTTTTTAAACTTGAAAATTTTTGGAATAACAAGGACGAGATGCATTCTATCGTCTACCAAAAAAAGCTTGTTTTATTTTTTCATTGTTGCTCAAAACAGTTATTAAACATGTAAGACTACTTAACTAATTCACTATCATTCTAACAAAAAATGGATCAAATTCATTTCAAATTGGTTAAATGCTTTGCTGGATAAAGGAAGAACGTACATAGGGAAAACAATCTCAACACCAATGCCTGCAATAATTCTTCTAATACGAATAGTTGTGTGAATTCCTGCATTTTGCTTTGAAATGATTATGCCCTTGTAAACAGAAAGCCGCCTCTTATTCTCTGGTACTTCCTGTGACAGACAAATCTCAAGATCTCATAAGAAACTCAACGAAAAATTAAATTTATCAAAAAAAAATAATAATAATAATAAAATAAGGCCACCAAAGTTTACCAATTTAATCTCCACAATATCTCCAGTCCTGAGGTCTGGCACTGGCCTTTGCTTCTCCGATGCCTCAATAGCCCTCTTGTTCAAAATCTACCCAGCAAAACAACAGGCACTCATAAACACAGATATCTAGCAATTAAAAACCCAAAATTAAGGACTAAGTACCCCATGGATGAAGGAAAAATTTAGGCACTGTCTAGTATCAAATTTACAGAAAGATTTAAGAGGAATCCCGCTTAAATAGTCTTTTTTGGCACTTCAAATCCCGTGATTAAGTAAATCGTCACAGTATGCACTGTAAACAGCAGAACTACTAAATCACGGATTCCGCAGTTTTAATGCAGTTTAAAGCGGAGTATAGCAAGCGATAGCAATGAAGATGTTAGTGGTAGGTTGACATTAACACCAAAACCTTGAGGCTCTAGCTGCCGCACAAGTGCCCGATTGAAGCTCTCCTTCTTATGTAGTACCCCTCCGACCATCCTCTACTTCACACACTCCACTTGCATTTCCTTTTTCGATCTCTCGCAATGTTCTGCTCCCTCGCTATGATCAATCTGCTTGTGTGTCTACTCCAAAGTAGCAAGAAGCAGGTAAATGACACACTTCTTCACTTTACTTTCTTACGATCTGCTCATGCGTAAGAGGATTTTTTTTTTTTAATTTATAGTTGTAGATTTCTTCAACCTGTATCTTTATTATAATTACAATGTTTATGAAATAGCTTGTTAAATTTATCGATCATATGCACATAAAGAACATCTGTATGATCATGATGAAATTCTAATTTGAGCAATTGTCACATCCATTTTTACTTGTGTTAGCATTTATGTATCTCTATCCATGCATATAAAAGAAATTTCAGCATTTCCAAAAAATATCACCAGCTAATAGCAGAGGAAAACTAATATAAAATACAAAGAAAGAAAAAAGACGCAACAACAGGTGTAGCATAAGAAAACAATGAGAACATATTTGAAATTTACCTTTAATCTATCATTTTTTATGCATAATTATTAAGAAAAAATAACACATAAACATAGGTCAAGTTTGATTTCGAGGAGCTAAGCCAAAAGAAAATCATCCCTCTCATAATAACACAATGACATGTTGGTTTGAACTACACTGAGAAATTAATTTCATTCAAGAAATTAGAGAATATACATATTTATCTTTACAATTCTTTTTATAAACGCAATGAAAACCTAAAGTAAAGCTGCAGCGTAAGTTCAGGTTTTTATTTTTAAAGCTATGATTTTTTATTTTCAACTGAAACAAAAGAAAATTGAAAATTTTAGTTACTTGCATTATTCCTCCTAAATCAAACAAATTGGAAAAGAATAATTTCAAATCAAATTTCTAGCACGTTCTACTTTATCTCATTTGCATTTCCTCGCACTCAATTTCTTCAAACCAAACCAAACCAATAAGAAGGGATTGAAGAAAACCACAATTATTCAGCCATGATTTCATAAATGAGTAGCTATAATCATGGCCACTATTAGGGATGATAAACAAAACGTTGAATCGCAAAAGTAACATACTTTTGAGGGCCAAATAACTGCATTGTGCATACAAAAACTATATCATCTAACAATCAATGAAAAAAGGATTTATAAAGCTAACCTCAAATAGATCAGATACGATTAATGATGATGAGCCAAATATTTTCCACTTACATACACACAACACCTTTATCATATGATGCATGACAACAAAGGGTACCACATTTAAGCAAAACTTGGCTTAAACCCCGCCAAACTATCTTTTGAACAATTTAATACCACCCCCTATAGAAACTGTTATAACAATTTCTGCAAGTAATTCCCAACATAAGGAAAATAGATAAAGTAGCAGAAAATCATAAATTATAAATTTAAATAAATACAACCAAGGAGAATTAAAAACTACTTTAAGGGGGTTGTTTAACCCTATCTAAGAGCATATAAACTATAACCCCTTAATTAATTTACATATTACACTTAACCTTATGCATAATAACAATATAATAATTCTCAAATGTACTAAATTGCGGGATTTGGAAGTACCGGAAAAAAACTGTCTGGGAGGATTTGTGCAGGCTTTCTTTAAATCACACAGTAAAGTTGATACCAGACAACCCCTATGGAATGCATGTGTAATACATTAAATCGTTTTTACTCTAGGTAATTTTTTTTAATTTAGAAATTAATAATAAATTAAAGGCATGTCATTTTGTATGTAAGAGATTGGACGAATTTGCCGCTCAAGTTGAAGGTTTCATCAAACATCTTGTGAATTAGAAGAGAGAAATGATGTATTATTAGGAATTGCAAGCTTTGCCTTATTTTTGCCATTGTAATATAAACTTTTCTTTTTCTTAACATAGAATTTAGAGGTTTCGAGTTTTCCCTTAAAGTCATATTTGGAATGTAAATGGTGAATTCCCTTTTAACATGTAGTATGGGTTCTAGAATTCAAGAACATGTTGTTTCTTCTCATTCTAATTCAAAATTTTACTAAATTCATAGTAACATGTTTAAATCCTCAAAGAAGTTACCAAACAATTTCATAGAAGTTAACTCAATTTATTAAAGCTCATACCAAATAACTTCTGAAATTTAATCACCTCAGGATTGACTAAATTTGGATTTACAGGATTTACAGGATTTACCAAATCTACCCGAGTTAAAGTAAAGAAATTTACAAACAGTCCCTTAGGGTTGTGAAGTTCACTCAAAAGCGAGACTTGCTAAGAATTTAATCATTTTTTTTCTCAAAACAAAATAATTTAAGCTTGATTCGAATCGTAAATAGAACAGGCTAGCCTATCTCAATATTGGAGATTGAAACATTCATAGCTGCAAAAGAATTTACCCCAATAATGTCTCCAAGCTTGATTCTAGGTTTCCTGGGAGGCTTCTCCTCCGCCACCGCAACCGCGCCTTCCGTGCCATCAGCCGGGTTCTCGCTATTTTCAGCTGCTTCCTCTAACGCCGCTTCGCCTTCCTCAGAGCTAGAGCTTGCAGCGGCTGTTATGAAATATCGGATACGGCAATTAAGCGGGGAAGGGAATCTGGCGACGAAGTTTTCGAGAGAGAAGCTAGGCAGCGGAGCGCGGCGAGAAGTCGGAGAAACTAAGGGAAGAGAAGAGGAACTGGAGAAAGTCGATTTCTTTGAGGAAGGAAGAACAGAGATATGGAAAAGACAGTGAGATAACGCATTGGCGTACATGGTCGCTTCTTCTCCGAACAGGGCAAAATGCAGTTCTTGAGAGTGTGAACGATAGTTACATGGGTAGAAGAGTATTCTGATGGCCTTATCGAGCCGGTAGAGATTTTGGGCTATGAATTTTTCTGCATTTTTTTGGATTTTTATTTGTCAAACCTCTAAAATTTTTAATATAACAAGCTAGGCACCCGCACATCAAGCCCTAGTCCCTTGAATCCCTCATTTTGGCCCTCACATCTCATGACGCTCTCACGTCTTGCTCCGTCGTCCTCCATTGTTCGTGAACAACTCATGTTCGACTCATTAAGTAACTCATATTTAGCTCTTTTCTTAAGTAAACGACTCGAACACGAACAAATTTTTTAAGCTCGAATTATAAACGAGTCGAACATGAACAGTTCTTTGTTCGCTCGTGTTCGAAATATTTTAGCTAAAAAAAAACATATAATTATTTATATAATAATATATTATATATATTTATCTATAATTTTAAATCATAACAGCTCGTGTGGTAATGTGAGTCTGTGTCTTTTTTGCATAGATTTAATCCAAATTTGAATCTAACATCTTATATCTATTTTTTCCAATTAATTTTAACGAGTCAATTTGAGTTGAACGTAAACAAGAATATTTAAATCGAGTCAAGCATGAACACACTATTCAAGAGCCAATTTTGAATACGAGCAATTTCGAACGAGCAAAACGGTCATTTACAACCCTATTGTTATCTATCATCGATCGTTAACGTCTTTGGGCGTCACTTTCCCTGAAAGTCGTAAAAAAACCTCTTACCTTCTGATTTATCCAGTGAGAAACCCTTGCACTTCACATGTTGAGGGCCCCAAAGAAAGTAAGGGTTTCTTACATGCTACAACTCAAGCGAGGGTTCCATTTCCTTTATCTATGATTTTGTTGAATTCTCATATTTCTCCCCGTTTTTTCTCTTAAAACTAATATGTAAGTCACGACTTTAGTGACATAGTATTTACATTTATTTTGAAAAGATATGTGTAACACTGATTCTTCTGCATTTATGTATCTCGAACATAAATTTATTGTTAGGATAAAGTATATACACTAGTTGTTGTGGTATATATATAGAAATCAAACAGGAGAACGATCTTTGATGAAACAAAAAATAGAACGAGAAATTCACACCAAAAAACAGTAACACTGCAGAACACAAAGATTTACATGATTCGGCAAATTGCCTACGTTCACGGAATTGTAGAGGATTTTAGTACTTGAAGAATTTACACCAGCCGATCGTCTCGACTTACAAGAGAAATCTCTTACTCCGTTGCTTTCTATTCTTCTCTCTCTACACCGAGATATACTAAAGAAACTCTACATTGAGATACACCGTAGAAGACAAATTTTACAAGAGAAATAAACTCAAATTATCTTCTGCTACAGGCCACCAAGAAGAAGCCAAGGGAGAACAATCTTCTTCTTCTTCTTTCTTCTTCCTTCTTCCACAAGGAACTACTTCTTGCACTTTCCTTCTTCTATCTCGAGGAAGCCCGAAGAAGAACACCAAAAATCGTGACTTCGTAAACTGAAGGAGAGCCGTTGTGATGCCTTTTATCGCAAAGAGGAGGGAGCGATTGGCGCCTACGGTTCGTGACTGAAGAGAAGGGAGGAAAACTGAAGCTTCGCTTCCCGAAACAAAAATAGTTCGTGAAACTGTAAGGTCGCGGCCGCAACCTTTCGCGATCGGGAGCAAGGAGCGGGAAGCGGGAGCGAGAGATCGGGAGGCAGATCAGACTCCAGCTTAACAAATCTCTCACTTAGAAACTAATACACACACTACAACACCATCTTCCTCAAACTGATATCCTCAACTAGCGGCGTCGACTTTTTCTTCAAACATGAATCCTCCACCTCTGTAACTTAAAGCATCTGTCTTCACTCCAGAAGACCAACTGAAGTTGTGCACAACTTCAGTTGGTCTTCTGGAGTGAAGACAGATAGTCCACATAGTCTAGCACCTCCAAGCTATTTCTTAAATTACTATTGTTTCTACTTATAACTCCCACTGCATGGGCAATATTCTGCCTCTGCTAAAAGCCTTTTCCAACAAGTCTAGCTTTGTATCTTTTACTGTCATCACGCTCAGTCTTCACCTGGTACACCCACTTGTTTGGTAATGCCTTCTTCCCTGATGAAAGTTCTGCTAGCTCCCACTTGCTCAAACTTTCATCTTGCAAGATGTCTTCATAGCTCTGTGGTTCTCCACTGTCCGTCTGTGGAATAATAGGAATGGGTGCCCCGGACCCACTCTCCTCTTCACCTCCATCATCAACAGAACTATGAATCGTCAGCAATGATGCATCCTGTACTTCTTCAAATACCACATTTGCGCTATCATTCTTCATATTCTTGAGATTCCTGCAGTTTCTCTTTATGTGACCAGCCTTGCAACAATTACAGCAGGTTGTATGTTGACCAGACTTTGATTTTGATCTCTCTCTATTTGAATTTTTGTTTTGTGATCTCCCTCTAAAATCAACATTTAGTGTCGAACTCGTACATGAGATATCGCCAGAATCTTTCTTACGCACCTCCTCGGCCAAAATTAAATCGCGAATATCATCTCATTTCAATTTATATTTACCTGCAGAACTGCTGACTATCATCCTCATGTCTTCTCAACTATTTGACAAGGAGGCTAACATATCAGCGAACGTATCTCATCATCAAAATCAATTTGGACAAACGACAATTGATTTATGATAGTATTGAAATCATTCAGGTGCTGAGCAACAGAAACACCTTATGCCATCTTCAAATTGAATAACTTCTTCATTAAGTAAAACTTGTTATTTGTCGATGGCTTTTCATACATACCTGATAAGGTTGCTATGAGACCTGCAGTCATCCTCTCTTTGATGATGTTGTGTGCAACAGACCCCGATAGGGTTAATCGAATAATCCCCAGAACTTGTCGATCCAACAAATTTCATTCAGCCTCATCTATTCTTTCAAGTCTTCTCCCCAATAACGGAATACGAAGTTTCTTCTTATAGATGTAGTCCTCTATATTCATCCTCCAATAATCAAAATCCGTGTCATCAAATTTCTCGATTTTTTAAACCTTCACTTCATCTGCAGCCATCGTCTTCCTCAGATCTAAAACATAGCTCTGATATCAGTTGTTGGGATAAGATATATACAACAGTTGTTATGGTATATATATAGAAATCAAACAGGAGAACGATCTTTGATGAATCAAAAAATAGAAGAAAATTCACACTAAAAAACAGTTACACATCGGAATGCACAGATTTACATGGTTCGACAAATTCCCTATGTCCACGGAGTTGCATAGGATTTCATTACTTGAGGAATTTACACCAGTCGATCGTCTCGACTTATAAGAAGAATCTCTCACTTCATTGCTCTTTGTTCTTCTCTCTCTACACCGAGATACACTGAAGAAACTCTACACCGAGATACACCAAAGAAGACAAACTTACAAGAGAAATAAACCCAAATTCTCTTCTGCTCTTCTCAAATTCTCTTCTGCCACAAGCCACCAAGAAGAAGCCAACAGAGAACAATCTTCTGCTTCTTGTTTCTTCTTCCTTCTGCCGCAAGGAACTACTTCTTGCACTTTCCTTCTTATATCCCAAGGAAGCCCGAAGAAGAACATCAAAAATCGTGACTTCATAAACTGAAGGAGAGTCGATGTGATGACTTTTATCATGAAGTTGAGGGAGTGATTGGCGCCTATGGTTCGCGACTGAAGAGGAGGGAAGCGAACCGATGCTTTGCTTCACAAAACTATAAGGTCGCGTTCGCGACCTTTTGCCATTGGGAACAGAGAGTTGGAAGTGGGAGATTGGAAGGCAGATCGGTCTCCAGCTTAACATTTATGTTAGATTTAGGGTATGTGGCCAAAATTGTAGAATGATGCATGAATATGATGGTGGGACTTTCTTGTGTTTTTGTTTGTTAAAAACACTTTAATTTAGATTAGTATGCATTTCTCAATTAACCCATTTCTTTTAGTGAATTGCATAGTTAATTCCTTTTTTATTTAGTTTGATTTTTTGTTTCTTAATATTACACAATCAAAAGCTATTTATTAATGTTTTTATTTTATGTGTGAAATAAAAAATGAGTTCAAAACAGACATTAACGGCTATAGGTGTCATTTGAAGCAGTGATGTATATTGGAAGTGAAGTTTGCCTTGCATTAAATACAACAGCCACACAAATGAAAGCAACGAATGAAAATTTTATCGATGCCCTCGAAATCATACAAAAGATGACTGCAAATTCTTCAAATGGATAATTGAAGTTGAACCTACAATGGACATTAATTGGTATCAATTTCGTGCACATAAGAAAATGGATAAGAAGAAAATTGATGTCATTGCATCTCATTTGAAGGTTTTGATTGGAATCATTGTTGTAAGCTTTATTTATCTTGCTTATGTTTAGTTTATGATGTGTTGTTATGTGTCATTGTGTGGAGTCAATTTGCGTAGTTCATCCCTGTGCATGTAGATGTCGATGTACGTGGGTATGAAATATAGTTAGAGTTCGTCAATAATAGAACTTCTTGTCCAGGTTCAAATTTCTTCTTAATAATCTTCCGATAATGTCATATTTTCATTTTCTCTTTATAGATGTTTGCATTATCATATGCTTCATTTCTAATCTCCTCAAGTTCATTGAGTTGCAATAATCTCTTTTCTCACCAACATCTTTTAGATTAAAATTAAATTCCTTAATAGCCCAAAATGCATTATGCTCTAATTCTACTAGTAAGTGGCATGTTTTTCCAAATATCAGCATGTATAGGGACATTCCTATAGGAGTCTTATAAGTAGTTCTCTATGCCCATAATGCTGTGTCAAGTCTAGTAGACCAATCCAATTTATAAGGATTTATAGCCTTTTTTAAAATGCATTTAATTTCACGATTTGATATCTCTGCTAGACCACTAGTCTGAGGATGATAAACAGTAGAGAATCTATGCATAATATCATATTTCTTAATTAATTTTTTGATTCTCTTTTTCCTAAAATAAGATCCTCCATCAGTAATAATTACTCTCGACATTTCATATCTTGTAAAAATATTTTTAATTAAAAATTTAGAAACATTCCGAGCATC